ACTAGGGCTTATTTTCGGGGTAATTACAATTATTAAACAGAATTATACTAATCTGGGTACTTGACAACAAGAACTTATTCTTATTGAAAGTATATGCTGAACATTTCATAATTTCGGGTGGTACATTGCCACAGACCTGGACATCGCTATATTTCAGAGATCTTTCATCAAACCTTGTTTAGAAACATCTTGTAGCCAAATGAAATAGTGTTTGAAAGCTGTTGGAACAAGCCCATTTGCATGTCGAAGCACGACTATGCCTTTTCAAGTGTATGCATTTCACACAGCGGTAAATAGTCAGTCTATATCATTAAGAGAAAAATGCAGAATATAATATAATAAATTTATTTATAGGTTCTGTAATCACTTTATCTGTATTGTATTTTGTGCAATCTATTGGGTAAAGGTTAAGCATGGGAATCGTTTTATAATAATGTCCCTAATCGTTTTCTTTACGTCTAACCTGGGGATTTACCCGGTTTTCAATGGCAGCCATTTGGGCGAGACGACAGGATGTTTAGTGTCTATCATTTTTACAAAATGAAAAGACAATTCAGTCATCTTTGAAGGAAACAGTTATAAAACTGCTTAACACAAATAAATTGAATCGTTTTGATTCTAGAAATTGTCGATACATTTTACATCATTTTGTTGTTTTTATCCCTGTAACTAATACACACCTAATTTATTTCAGATTTTCATCACATAATTTTTTTGAATTTCTGTATGCACTGTATGACCTGATATTTTATACAAAATTTACCCTTTCGTTCATAAGACATCAATTGGATTGTCACATTAATCTTATTTTGAATATGAAGTCACACAAGTAAGTTTAAATTTTCCCGATGTAGAATAGATGAGGGAAAGAAATTTTATAAAAAAAATAATCAAAAATCAAAAGGAAAACATCTCATATCGCATTCTCGCGTAAAATCACCTGAATAATTTCTTGTGGATAATTATCCCAATCCAGAGCGTTAAGAATTTAGTAAACATGTTTATTGCAAATGTTTAGTATTTGTAACAGCTTCGTACACTAATACAATTCACAATTTGGGGGTAAATGCTTACATACATTCCTGTGTGCACATACCAAGGGGTGTGTAAGGGGCATGTATATTACCCAGTGTTTTTAATCCTTCACCACGAGATTCCCGGTTGCCAACTTTGCAGAACTTGTTTTGACAGGAAAAAAGGTTTTGTTTGTTCAAAATAAACATACAGCTTTGTTGTCAACTTTTGTAAAAAATACTTCGGTATCCAATCTTTGTTAAATGCTCGATACTCTCTGTCAACTTTACGTTTATTGGGATATTTCATGGTTAATAAAACCTAATATAAAATCTATTTATATTTAGAATCTAAATATAACTGATAACAGTAGTGGGGAATGTTTACAACGCTCTCTGCTTTTTTGTTTAACAAGTGTGCTAACGCAAGGACCTTTCCCCGAGCATCGACTTCCCTGTTTACTTCGTGACATTGGCCAATCAGCAAAGCGCAAATAGTGACGTAACAATGCCCCCTTTTCGCATCCGCTCAGACACTTTCCGCCCTCAGACAGGTTTTCAGGCGTGGTCGTAAACATTACTTCGTTTTTGAACTCTATTCGTCAGTTTTTAGTTGTGTTTCGGAAATTTAAATATATATCAGATAATTCAATGATCACTCTGTCTTCTTATGAGTTTTAATTTAATTAGTGTAGAAATAGCTGTGATAGACTGGGCTGAAATTCTTTATCGATACTTTTGAAAAACAGATTGTTGTATGCGATGAATCATAATGGTGGTTTGAAACACCCCATTTTACACGCGCCAACTCGCGAAACCATTCTTAAAATAAGCCCCGAAAATTTTGCAATGGTAAAGTATAGGAAGAACTTTTCGGGGGTCAAAGGTCGGGGAAAGGTCCATTGTTTGTGCACTAAGCTAAGGCAATTGTTTATTTCACCAGCTCGCTCTGACAGTGCGGTAAGAATAGAGCGATCGGCAACGTTCAGGAATGATGCGTCAGACCACATTACAGAGTGTGGTTGGATACAGACATCGGGCCGTATGTTGCCCTCCCCTGATCTAATGTATCTAACGCTTACTCTTCAGACAAGGTGATGAAAATTTATTTCCATCTCTACTAAATCCTTATCTGTATTGACGGCATTAAAAGTATTAAACTGAAATGAACTAGTGCGTTTTTCATATATATTCAAAACTAATACAATTTTAGAATTGAGTGGTTTGGCGATAACGCGATCAGATAAGACAGTGTCTTCTTTCAATTTTCTTCCTAAAAATAACACTAGGGCTTATTTTCGGGGTAATTACAATTATTAAACAGAATTATACTAATTTGGGTACTTGACAACAAGAACTTATTCTCATTGAAAGTATATGCTGAACATTTCATAATTTCGGGTGGTACATTGCCACAGACCTGGACATCGCTATATTTCAGAGATCTTTCATCAAACCTTGTTTAGAAACATCTTGTAGCCAAATGAAATAGTGTTTGAAAGCTGTTGGAACAAGCCCATTTGCATGTCGAAGCACGACTATGCCTTTTCAAGTGTATGCATTTCACACATCTGTAAATAGTCAGTCTATATCATCAAGAGAAAAATGCAGAATATAATATAATAAATTTATTTATAGGTTCTGTAATCACTTTATCTGTATTGTATTTTGTGCAATCTATTGGGTAAAGGTTAAGCATGGGAATCGTTTTATAATAATGTCCCTAATCGTTTTCTTTACGTCTAACCTGGGGATTTACCGGGTTTTCAATGGCAGCCATTGGGCGAGACGACAGGATGTTTAGTGTCTATCATTTTTACAAAATGAAAAGACAATTCAGTCATCTTTGAAGGAAACAGATATAAAACTGCTTAACACAAATAAATTGAATCGTTTTGATTCTATAAATTGCCGATACATTTTACATCATTTTGTTGTTTTTATCCCTGTAACTAATACACACCTAATTGATTTCAGATTTTCATCACATAATTTTTTTGAATTTCTGTATGCACTGTATGACCTGATATTTTATACAAAATTTACCCTTTCGTTTATAAGACATCCATTGGATTGTCACATTAATCTTATTTTGAATATGAAGTCACACAAGTAAGTTTAAATTTTCCCGATGTAGAATAGATGAAGGGAAGAAATTTTATAAAAAAAATAATGTAATTTATTAATTTTTCGAAATAACAAAAAATCAAAAGGAAAACATCTCATATCGCATTCTCCCGTAAAATCACCTGAATAATTTCTTGTGGATAATTATCCCAATCCCGAGCATTAAGAATTTAGTAAACATGTTTATTGCAAATGTTTAGTATTTGTAACAGCTTCGTTCACTAATACTCAATTTGGGGGTAAATGCTTACATACATTCCTGTGTGCACATACCAAGGGGTGTGTAAGGGGCATGTATATTGCCAAGTGAACAATAACAGTGTTTTTAATCCTTCACCACGAGATTCCCGGTTGCCAACTTTGCAGAACTTGTTTTGACAGGAAAAAAGGTTTTGTTTGTTCAAAATGAAGTGAACAAAGAAAATTTCCAGCAGTGATTAGGTGGCAAGGAATAATGTTGCACCTATTCTAGACAATACAAAAGCAGGTATTCTTTTGAGATGATAATAGAAGTTTCAGGCATTATTGAGCTTGGTGCATGTGTGGCTCGGTATTTAGAACATCGAGCCAAGCGTTATGAATATCTTCGCAGGTTTGAATTTCAGCAGATAAAAATTATGTGCAAATGGATTGCTCAATTCATTGCCGTTATTCACATAACTGCTGGAGGATTGCTGAGTTCTGCGCCTTTGTAGCGCGGTTCATTTCCAGCCTCTCTTACTAGCATGTCCATACATCTAAAACAAATAACTTGTTAGTCCTATACTCGACATGGGACTGGTAACTGGAAGAGAGGGTGTGGTTCTAGAGGCCTTTTATCAGCTTTCTATGGATAAAGATAAATAGGAATCCCTGTCTTATGAAACTGCTTTGGGGCACATTCCTATAAAAATATTGATAAAATATTATAAAAAAATGATCCATTTTATAGAAAACAACATGCGATAAAACTCATTGAATCCATTTTGAAATCCAATCTGCAATAATATGTGAAATTATTTAATATTGTTTAATTTGATAATAAACCTCATTATCACTAAGCTATTTTAGAAAACATTGTTAGCTTTTCAGAGGCAGGCAGCGGGTGAAGTCTGGTATGACCATAAGCCTCGATGATTCAACTCCAAGTCTAGCAAAGCTGTAGTAACATATTTACGCTTACGGTGATTTTCTTTCCACAATTCACTCAGTCAGACTTCGAGACAGGAATGAAGTTTTCATGACCAGTAGAAATAAGCCTCTATCTTCTTGAGAACCTAAACAAGAAAGAAAGGAGTTTATAATATTAAAAATCGCATTACTAATGAAAGAGAGTTGAATAAATCAATAAGCGGGAGATGTAGTATGCTAAATGCCAATATTGCAACAATCTGGCAAAATGTGGGATGGACATATTACTTATAATTTGTCCTTTTGTTGAGAATGAATCAGGCCCCTAGAAATATATTATTCAAAATCAAAGCTAATAAAGCTGCCAATTTTACTGAAACTATATCGAAATAAACTCAAAACCCAATAAACATTAAAACAAGACTGTACAAAATAAATTGATGGAGAATACCCAAAAAATTGATTGTAAATTAATTGGATTTGCACCACTTTTGGCTTCTAGATACTGAGATATATGGTTTTCTGTGTTAAATGATATATTAATAAATGCTATTACAAGGCACACAAAACTTCATCATTCAATTTAACATATAGTTAGATGTAAATCTGACTAGTGAACTTTCATTTATTTTGAAAAATTTTCAGAAATAAATCAATGTGCAATGAATCATGCAATGCCATTGCCAATTTTAATATTTTGTCGTGTTCATCTAAAAAACTTTAATTTCAAATTCCAGATTTATACTAGAGTCCATTTTGTTTTCATTTACCTTTGATTCACAATCAATGAATCCAGGAAATATGGATGATCAAGACATGGTAAGCAGGCATAACTTCATACATAATTAGCATATACATACATAAACAAACCAGGAAATGGAAAGAAGATACAAATTCCTTGATAATCAGAAAATACTTTTGGTGCATTTTCAAAAATGGATATGAATAATTCAGTATTATATTTATTTTCCAACACTATATTTTTGTTTTTCAATCAGAGCCTGAAAAGAGAGAGAGCTGAGAAAGATTGGAATGTGGTAAAGAGCATCTTTTGCAACTAGTTTGCATTTTAAATGCAGGACTCCATTATTTCCTTTAACTATCATTTAATAACCAAGCCTAGGACCTTTTTGATTGTAGCGCAAATTCATTTGATGTAAAATAAAGACTGTAAAGAATGTAAAATAAATTTTTGGCTTTTTGATTAGGTGAAATAAAAGAATGAAGCTTAGTTTACTATATATAACCCGAGAATTAACCAAAATCTGAAAACTCTTCTGTTTATTTTTTAGCTTTATCAAGTTAATGATTTGACATATAAGAATCCGAAAAATCCATTCCTTAGTTTTGCTTTTTGGATAATAAATACTGACAAAGTGAAATTTCAAGCCTCTGATAATATCAGTTGGATTGAATAGGTTCTTATTTGTTTAAAAGGTTTTAGAAAAGTACTGGTATGCAGAAAGCATCTCAGTCAATTTTAATATGATTTTTTTTTTCAGATCTATTCATTTAAGCTAATTATTGTACCGGTAAGTAACATCACTTGTCACTAGTTTCCACCTTCCTATTTTAAATGCAGAACTCAATTATTTGAAAATTGTAAAATGAAAATAATCAGATTTCTATACAAACTGTGAAAAGCCACTGAAATGCTATAAAAACTTGGATTCCTCAGACTAGAATTGTGTGAATAAAAAACCTTTTTTTATACATGCCTAAACAAGGCTTTATGCAAATAACCACAATTAGATAAATAGCTACTATATTTGGAAAGGACCAGAAACTTCAGGGTTTGGCATTACCAAGCCAAACCCAATTTAAAACAGCATGAATGAAGTTGTGGGTTTATTTTATTTGAAAAGATTATTTTAGTGATTCAAGCAATCAAGTTAACAATTAAACAAATGAGAATCTGAAAAAAAGAAAAATTAATCTTTCACCTTCCTTATTGTGTAATAAATACTAATATTGTAAGATTTCAAGCCTCCGAGATCTTGGTTGGACTAAACAGGTTTTTAATTATTATTTATTAAACAAGTATAAGGAAAGTGTGCAGAAATCATCTTAATCAATTTTGAGATGCTTATTTCTAAACCTGATATTTTTTTAAATTTTTTTTTAAAGTTTTTCTTGTAAAAGACCTGGATTGCGTGAAATCTCAACAAATATTCCAAATATTAAAAACCGACAGTTAGGGCTGTCCAAGCGAACCAAATATTCGAAATCGAATCGAATCGCAAATTATTCGAATCGTTTTTCGGCTAATTTTCGAATCGCTAAAATTAGGTACCTGTACATAAAGCGGAAACCAACTTTACGGGATGTTTTTCATCGGGCAAGCGGCGGCGCTCCGAGCTCAGACCACTCTTGCTCCCGGCTTAATTGGTTTCCCGATATTTCTCTCACCTTCATTTTGTGATAAACATGTCATTACTAATGCCCGCCCGGTGGCACATGATTAGCCATTTCATGCATGGTCATCATAACAAGGTATAATTATTGGTCATGACGTTTTTGGGAGAGAACAAGGAGAAAAAGGAGACAATTTAGAAAACGATAGTTCTATAAATAGAATCGATTTGAAGCTGTTGAGTTAGTTATCATAGGAACATGGTACAGGCAACTCAAAGCTGAAACAGGTGTTTTGGGATCCTTATGATGGCAATACCTTCTTTGAATGGAATTTGTAATTTCTTATGATGGCATTACTGTATTATCCATCTATATACCAAGACAAATAATTGCACTCTTGCATTTTGATGGCTGTTGTACACTAACAATATTATAGTCGTCAAATAATATTGTCATCAAACTAGCTTGGAAATTTTAAATGCAATTTTGAACTTTAGCAACAGTTTTATCTATATTGATGGCTGTTATTATTTTGCTGAAATTTACACAAAAAAATATAAGACTAGTGAATAGGATTAAAATAGCATCTACAGGCTTTACATGTCCTATTAAAACTGAATCCATCAAAATTGAGATTGCAATTTTTGAATAGTGCAATTTTTACTCTTAACACTCAACAGTTTCCGAGACCCAAATTTTGGAGTCCTCCAATTTTTTTGACCAGTTCATACAAGCGTGTGATCTCCTTTCATAAATCTGAAAACATTGTATTGCAAAATACCAGCAGTAAGTAAGATGTAACTGCACATACGTTACCACAACATCGAAAGGCAGACGCTTATTGTATAATAGAGACAGATTTAATATTGCGCAATAATATTCGATTATTCGGTTCGATTCGGCGAAAATATTCGATTCGAATCAAAAAATTATTCGATTTTGGACAGCCCTACCGACAGTGTGTGTTGATTGATTTATACTCTGTTTTGAGTATTTCAACATAATATAATTGATTGAGCCTAAAAGCTACCATGAAATTGACCAACAACAAGGCAAATTGTAAATGAATAAATAATGAGTCATATTGGTTGATCAATATACTTGCACTTTCCAAATATTGAAAACCGACAGTGCGTGTTAATTGATTTATACTCTGTTTGAAGTATTTCAACATAATATATATATGAGCCTGAAAGCTACCTTGAAATTGACCAACAACAAGGCGACTATAAATTGTAAATGAATAAATAATGAGTCATATCGGTTGATCAGTATACTTGCGCTTTTATGAAGCCTTGCCTTGTTAGAGCCACTAATGATAAGCTATTGATATAAATAAGTCCATTATTACATTTATTTTCTAACACTATATTTTTGTTTTTAATTAGTTGATTGAAGAAGCCAGGGCAAATGGAGTTCGAATCTGTTTGGTGAATAACATCTTTTCAACTAATTTATATTTTAAATGCAGGACTCGATTATTTGATAATTATAGAATGAAAAATATCAGTTTTCAAATGCAAACTGCAAAAAGCCACTGAAATGCTATAAAAACTGATTGACATTTCAACTGACTATCTGATTTGACGATTCTCAACTTAGGGACTGGTGTGCCCAGATTGCGTGTAATCTCAACACTTTACTAGATGCTTAAGGTTTTATCTTCTGGAACATAACAACTTCCAAATATTGAAAACCGACAGTGTTTGTTGAATAATTTATACTCAGTTTGGAGTATTGCAACATAATATAATTGATTGGGCCTAAAATCTATCTCAACAAATTGAGAGGCAACTATAAATTGTAAATGAATAAATGATGAGTCACATATTGGTTGATAAACATACTTGCTCTTTTCGATGGCCCTGCCAGTGCCACTAATGATAAGCTATTGATATGAATAAGTCCATTATTACACTTATTTTCTAACACTATATTATTTTAGAAGGATGAAGAAGAATTATAGATATATAATAATCTATATTATAGATAGAATCTATAATATAATTATAGATAAAAAAATATCAGCTTTCAAATCCAAACTGCGAAATCCACTGAAATTCTATGAAAATTGATTGACATTTCAGGCCCTACCCGCCACAAATTTCGGTCGGGCCGGGCTCGGGCTTCAGATCTTATATCTAATTAAAACTCTGAAATGGCATCGATTTTGGGAAATGAAAAAAAGCATTACAGCCAGATCAAACCGAGGCTGTGAATACTCTATTCCTAATTTATTTGTTGTTTTCAAATGAATCTTAATTCAGCCGCTCAAGCTAACAACTAGGGGTGGCCAAAATAAAAAAAAATTTTCGAGTCGAATAATTTTAACGAACACCGAATAGTCGAATATTTTTTATACACAACAGGTGTCTAGTACGTCGGTCGATTGAAAATTAAAAAAAAACAAACATTGAAAATCAAAACGGTATTCACTGGTTAATTTCGTCATAATCGCTGATTGTTTTTGTTACCGTGATCGTTTTGGCGGCGATATCCTGGATTTGATCATCTTATCATTGTGAAACAGTCGAACAAGCAAAAATACTACAGAAGGCACCAAGTCTATTTATAAATAGATTTTATTTTAAAACAATTTTTTGTTTTTCAATTATCAGGCGGAAAAAAAGGAAAGAGAAAAATTGAAGCAGGAGGTAAATAGCATCCCCTGTAACTACTTTTCTTTCATTTTCTTATTTTAATGCAAGACTCAAATTTTTGTGACTTGTTTCATATCTAACTTGATAAAAATAACCAGGTTTAGTTTCTGCTAACTATATATACATAGATTTACTAATATAGCCCAAAACTTCACCCAAAGCCTGTTTGATTGTTGTTTACTTTTATCAACATATTTCCACTGCCCACTAGTTTGATATTTGGATGAGGTTTGCTTGACCATTGTGCCAATCATATTTCACATACCCACTGATTAGATTCCGGTTGATAAACTGGCAACTTACAATCTGTACTCAATTAAATTCGAAAATAAGATTCTGTTAGGTACGTAGGTAATTTGTTTCAAATGATTTATGTTACCACTGGTCAAAAAAAGTTCGTCTGGATTAATTGTTGAGTTACGGTATTCTTCTGGAGCCTGAGGCGCTCCAGATTTGGTTTGGCTACTTTACATCGAATTGTGTAAAGCAGGGGTTCCCAAACTTATTTGTCCACAGGCCAAAATTTGAAGGTGAGTATACTCGCGGGCAAGTAAAGGGCAGTGACCAAAAGAGCGTGACGCAACGGCTGGGGTTCAGGGCGCGCTTAAGCCATGTGAGAAAATTTTGAAAAATAGGCACCAAAATAGTCTGCAAGATTGATTTTAGATACACCCAGTATCGCAGTTTGTTTTGTAATAAAAATAACAAGTATAATAGTTAGGTGATAAAATAAGGTATAACAGGTAAGACTTTCAACAAGGATTTGCAACTGATAGCGACTAATGAAGTTACTTGCTCATCTGGAGAACGACTTCGTATAAATGGCTACATATCATAGTAAAGTTTATTTTTTTCCATCCAGTAAAAATAACGAAATTCTGACAAAAGTAAAATTAACACGCATTTTTACTGGGAAGGGAAGTCGCTGAGAACTGATTTTCAAGCAGCGACACCCAAGGTTTGATATTAGGCTTGCACGTAATTGACAAAAATCAATTCCGTAATTACGGCAAAATCAATTACGTAATGACCCCGTAATTGCGATATTTTTCCACGCATTTAAACCTATCATAACAACCAATTGAATCCACTTCTTTTCCGAATGGGACATTGAAGTTGGGTTTTCATATTCTTGGCAGTACTACACGCCGTCGACAGATGTTAAAGACAAATATCAAGGAGTGAATTCAAATAAATTTTATTCTGATTTTTATCTTTTGTGTTAGCTTTGGTTTTCCTTTATCACCTTCGCAAATTAACCGTCCCATTTTTATGCGATCAATTTTATTTTATCATTACCGACACTGGTATACGGATATTTATGGAAACGATAGTTTTTTAAAACCACCTTAATACTGAATAAAAATTACGGGTTTCTAATTTATTAACCAACGACGAGCGTATTCACTCGTTTGATTATACTTGCGATTTCCTCGCGACGAAGACTTGTTTTTGCAGCGTCTTCTGCATTATCCGACATTACTGCCTTGTTAAGCATTTTATAATAATAATTATTGATGTCGACTTATTGACGATATTCCGATTACCATGCTTCATTTTACATTTAATCATCTCGCGGACTGAATGTTTATAACATTATTTGCGATAAATTTAGATCAAATATTATTTATTTGAGTATAATTTAAATATCGAACTTATATGATATGCCTTCTCCGAAAATACAAAAGTTATATCGCAAAACAATGCATTTTGTGACATTTATTTTACACTCACGACATTTATTTGCTAACTCAAGTCGGCGATCCTATCGGCCAAGATTGACACAAGTTTGGTCGAGTGCCGGTGGTATTCAATTCGACGATAAATCAAAATAAGTTGGTGCATTTGGTAAGACAGTTAATCATATATGGCCGAAATATTGAGAGGAATTGTAAAAAACATCATGCGGACTGATATATAACATCATCCGGACTGATATATAACGATAAAACCGTTAACAGAACATCAAGATTTTGTAATAGAAAATGGATCTCGCACAGAATAAACACACTGGCTCATATTTGATCATATATGATAGCAGTTAAATTTTTTGCGGTCCGCGAGGAATCCGTCGTTTTGCTGTTTCTCTGCCGTCTCAATCGCTTAACCGATGCCGAGAAGACGAAGTTGCGTTGGTTCATTACGCAATCTCTCTTTTGTCGTCATATTGCTATTTGATAAGCGCGACATTAATTATCACGGCGAGGTATTGGCGCGAGTGATCAATCGCTCTTTTCGCTTATTTGGTTCCAATTCGTCGCGAAAGCTCTTCGTTAAATTTCACAAGATCGTCGTGTTAAAAGGTTATGGATATTTTCCTGTTTATACCCCAAGTCTGAAATAAAACAGCCAAAAACAGTATGATATTCCATGTTCATATATCAAGTGTTGATATTAACAATAAAGAATGGTTAAGCATTGCTAATCCACACTTGGTGGGGAATTCCCACTATTTAAACGCGTGACTATAAAATAGAATAAAATAGAAACGGAACATATATACCATAAGTAACGGAAAACTGGAACAAGTAAATAATAAATAAAAGTAAAATGGATACAAATGTTTGATAGACCATGTTTGAAAGATTGATCTCCTGCGTTCATTAGTCATTTCACCCGAAGAAGTTGAAACCGGGCGTGTTAGCGTCCATCGGTCTTAACACAATTCTTCCCCCTATCTACGGTTATTATGTACATTGGCCATGGCCAAGCTAGATAAGATGCGAGAGAAGTTGAAACCAGGTGTGTTGGCGTCAATCGGTCTCAACGCAATTCTATCCCTTATCTACGGTTAAGTTACGGGAGAAGTTAAAACCAGGTGTGTTGGCGTCAAACGGCCCTACTCAGTTCTTCCCCCTTAACTACGTTAATAATTTACATTGGCCATGCCAGAGAAGTTGATAATAGGTTAGTGAATGGCAACGCGTCATGCCCTCCTTCACCTACGTAGCAAGAAAGGTAAAAGAGAGAAAAACGGCTGCGAATACCGGAACTCTAACTTCTACTTGTTGAGCTTTCATTTTTCGCAATCGACGAAATTGACTGCTTTGAAGAAAGCTCGTTTCAATGCAATAATTACGACTTTACGTAATTCGTAACTTCCCTTCCGTAACTCAAAATAATTACGTAATTACGTAAATCCGTAAATTACGTGCAAGCCTATTTGATATCTATTTGATTTCGCAGTTGAGCTACCAATATTATGCACTGACACAGTATTAGTATTTATTTACGGTTATACTAGATCAGGGGTTCTCAAACTTTTTGTGTTGCGGAGCCCTTGAAAGGTTGAATATTATTCGCGGAGCCCCAAAATAAATGTTAAAATTTTACTTTCAGATTAATATTCCTGAGCAGGTTAAAAGTACTTTACTTATTTTAAATGCTGAACCCTTTTTAATAGGGTTAACACAAGTCATAGATAAATCTAAATTTCAAACATAATATACTAAAGCTGTAAATTTGACACTTGACCAACATATTGATAAATTAGGGGGCGAATCTTTTCCCTTTTGACATTGAAAGACTTAAAAGGCCGCTAATAACGAGCGCGATATCATTTTGTTACAATCGCCGATTTTTTTCGTCAGCATGGCGTGTTTTTGAACCTTTAAACATCTTTACGCCGGTGTTTATTTTCCCTAAATCAAAAATTTCCCTCGGCATATACATGTATTGTTACACAATGACGACGTTAATTGCTTTTTGTTCTCGTGGGGAAGTATGAGTTTAATGTGAAAAACATGTTACCATATTATAGTCATCGGCGATGAAAGGCTAAAAATAATAATTAATAAAGAGGTAAATCCGCAACTCAAATTTCTTAATTGAAAAACGCCTTCTAAAATTTTAAAACTGAAACTTAAAATGAAAGATCACACGTTTCGTTTTCAGCAGACTCACCTCAGATTGAAAACGCTTTTATAGACATTGTAAATCATAAAATTTGGTGTTATGTTAGGTTTTCATCGTAGTAACTGCGAAATCGAAACACAGTCAATTGTGAGCGCGATCCGCGATGTACCTTTTTTCATTCTGAAACTACCGGCAGAGCCGAATGCAATAAAATAAATTTCAATTGTTCGTATTTTGCCCAAATATTGTGATTTTTTAAACGGCGATATCTTGCTTAAAAATAATCTCAAGTGCAAAAGAACAAATCAAGTTTGACAAATCCCATGATCGCAAAAATACGACTCCAATTTATTTATAGTTGGCAGTTTATCACATATTCTATGTTATTTTAGAATAGTATTTACATTTTAGTAATCCTAATAGTAATCTCGAACTAAACGTGAGTAACGATGAGACACTTTAAATGCTCGCATCGGTCATGGATTGAATATTTTACGCAACAGAAATCTCGTTATCCGTTTTTTTAATCGCAAAGAATGTTGCGCGGAAATTTCCGATTCCAATTTTGAACCACCTGCCTCTTAAGAAACCTGGCTGCGCTCCTGCTTATAAATAATGTCATTTTTTAATTCCGCCTCTTTACCATATTTCGAGGCTATTTGTTGTCAGATTTTATCAATGCTGTTATTGCTTCTTTGAACAGTTACAAAATTTTGAGTCAGTATTTTGAAGAGTTCGCGGAGCCCCTGGGTTTCTCTCGCGGAGCCCTGGGGCTCCGTACGGAGCACTTTGAGAACCTATGTACTAGATGACCCCAGATAGCGACTCATGGTTTACTAAATAAACAAGGAAAATCGGGAAAATCTTCCTTGGAAAAAAATTTAGCCATTTTTGCGTGTTATTGCGGGCCGCGGGCCGTAGTTTGGTGACCCCTGCTTCAGAATATTAATTCAAATGCCCTTGTTATTTCTACTTATCCACTGTATCATTAGAATGACATCCAGAACGACCATTGTATCCGTAATCCAAGACCTCAATCCTTTAGAATATTAATTCAAATGCCCTTGTTATTTCTACTTATCCACTGTACCATTAGAATGACATCTCGAACACGGCTAAGCATTGCAGCATAATCCATACATGACCACAACCATGCATCCTAGATGATTATTTGTTATTCTTGCATAAGATCATGGTCACTTACATTGGGTGCAATCACTAAATTCTCAATAGAAAATTGAATGCACAATGTTTCTGTTCAGATTTACAGATGCATCGAAGCAATCATAGACTGGAGGAGATTTGTGCAAGATACGATGGGAATATCAACAAAAAAGCTGCGCAGAATAATCGCTCAGAGTAGATTGATTGATATAAAAATCAAAATGGAAATTCTCAAATTCTGGAAGAACAATAATGGTAATCGGAAAGCGTTTTCCTATTTAACTTCTCTCAAGATCTGGTTATGACGTATATTATATGGGTTTGGCTATTGTACTGTATACCGTATTTGCTCGTTTTATAGCCCGGGCCCATATTTTTTTAACCAAACTCACTAACCGGGCCCTTATTCAATCCGGCCCTTATTCAAGCACGGGCGCTTGTTATTTTTAAAGTAAAATGATACACAAAAATATATAAAAAAACATATATATATAGATAAGATCGATCATTACAATAATTAATATATTGTCATTTCCGGTTCTCAAGTATGATTAAAACGAAAATAAAGTGGGCATTCCCGCTTCAGACAAGGTTCTGTACACTGATACCATTTTTGAAACGGCAATTGACAAGTTGGTTTGGCACTGCATACACAATCTATTGTAGGGGATAGACATGGGGCATTCTTCACTTGCAGCAGGAACATAATCATACAATGCTCAAACAAAGTAGGTCATCGCACCTAGTTACTAACTTTGCCAATCATTCTATACAAGTGAACTACACACATAGTATTACAGCAAATCAGATTTTTTAGGTGAAATTAATATTTCAGCTAAGACTCAAGATAAAGAGTCTCTCAGAGAAGAGCTACTCGAACTTGCAGGGAATTTTTTAGAAAGAACAGCAACAAGTAAGTTTTCTTGCTCTAAAAGACCAGCAACAAAAAGTACCGAAGAATATTGACCCCAAAAAATGCCACTGAAAATAATAATCTTTGCATGCATAACAGTAGAATAATCAGATAATGAACATTCTAATAAGTGGGTCGGATTTGAAAATATTTGTGAACACATGATTGTGTCAATACTATAGTATAAAGAGTTTGAATATTACTTCAACAATGGTCATGGGACCTAATTTTTAGGGAAAAAGGGTTGCGCGCATGCACAAAAAATTGCTGCCTTTAATTGAAATTTATTTGGAGCAAGTCTACTTCCATTTTGACGTAACAGTAAGGGTAGACACTATTTGACGGAAAGTAAATAATATTCAAAGGTAAAATGAATTATTGATTCTTATAAACAGCATTTGAAATAAGAACAAATTAATCATTTGAACATTTTATTAATTCATAGTTACAGATGTTTTTTGTATTACTATCTTACTAATATTTCAGTTTTATTGAACAAAACTGAATTTCAGGTGACGCATTCAGAAATCGCAACTTCAAGTTCATCAGTCACATTGTTGCAGCAGCGATTCCAGACGAGGACTGGTTGGAATTTTCTCGTACAAAGTTGAAGCTCAGTGACAAAGAAATAGAAAACATCATCAGGAGACATGGAGAGTTTAGTGATGAGTTCAAGTATCAGCTGATCAAGAAGTTACAGCAAGAGGTAGGTAGCAAACTCTACAAAAACTGTAATCTCATTTGTGAAGCAGAGAATAACTCTAGTACCTAGAGAGTACTTTTTTTAATTGTCTGTTGAGAGTCACTAATCAAGCTAATTCTCTTATCATAACTATCAAACCATTGGAAGCCTAAAAACTTATGGGAGACACGGCTTCGAAAATATGACTACAGCTCCAATATGCATATAAACATACACAACTTTGTCTCCAGAGCCTCGGGCCATCAGATAATAAAAGTAGAAAACAAATAATCAACCAGGAGTATCTGCAACTTGGCTTACCGTTTCAACTTCCCCCCTTATATCAATTTTCAATACGAGACTTCATTTGCTTAGTTTGAAAATATTTTCGAAATTCGCAACCTGAATAATACTTTATCTTTGATACTACTTTAACTATCAAAAAGTAGTCAGGTGATTTTAGTTTGAATCTTGAGCTAGAAGAATACACGAAGGTTAAAAATTGAAATCCATATATATGTAACTCTTCGTACTATTTACAGGAAATGGAAGACCCAAGCTGGCAGAAGTGGAAACTGCAAGATGATGAAAATAGTTCCGACATATCATATAAAAACTAAAAAGACATTTGAGACAATTGTGGAATAATTATGCCACAAACTTGAGTTATCTCTATATATACAAATAAATATAAATTGAAACAATAATTTTGATGATATATGATGAATGCATTTACGAATGCATTTAGCATATATTCCAACGAATTGAACGAAACGTTAGATCAGGCTATGTTTCACAAGTTATAAGTAACACTAATTAATGCATCTATCCAATTTTTATTCCATGCCTGAAGATTTCTTGTATATTACAACAATTTGTTGACTTTATCTTGTTTGGCATATCCTATACAGTCATGTATATAATTGGAAATCGCAATTTTGCTTCATCGATAACACTTGCTTTGATTGTTCTAATGCTCGAACATTTCTAATTTTATGTTTTTCGAAGTTTATCCGTTTCATGAAATCATTTCACTTAACATTTTTGAAACTGTAAATATTCCAGAAGATGAGTTTTAAACTTTACAAAATCCTTAAATTAATTGTAATATCTCACGAAAATGATCACAATCTGCAATGCAGGGATGTTCAGAATTATTCAAAATTACAAATTCCCGATTCTAAAAAATACGATAAAAATAAAAACAGTATGATAAAAAAGGCCTTCATTCAAATGATTCAAGTTATGAAATATGTACGATTGAGACAAATAGCCAATTTTACTGCTTGTTTATATCAACTTCCTGGCATTTACAAATTCAAATTCATCAATACTAGTTTTATTTTAGTTCTTTATTGAATTTGACCCAAGAATGTATTCACAATTCCAGCACTCCATACCATACTAATAATACATATTTAAGATTTGGCCATCTCTGCTGTGAAACTGACTCAATTCCTCCATGATTTTTTGTTGCTTTTCATAGCTAGTATAGACTTAATATAACCCCCTAAAACAGTGGTTCTCAAACTTTTTGAGTCGCGCCCCCTTTTTGAAAATTTCTCGTGACCCACCTCAGAAATAACCAGTTAGCAATAAGCTATAAATAATGAATATTGTACGAAAAAGGCATGTTTTATTTAAGAAACACATTAAAAAAATGTGGATGAAACGTGAATATCCAAAATAGGGTGGATAGGATCAAATCTAACAAATATTTTCATTTTCAATTAGCTTAATAATGCCCCCTCAAAAAAAAATCGGTTACCTTCGTAGTGTGTATACCAGGTTAGGGTTAGGCCATAAATTTATTCTGATTTTCTTTATTTTAGGTATTTTACATGTTCAAGGACTGCCTGTGTAAGCCAAGTAAATATCCCCCTGCCCATAGGTTTCAGAAAAATTGTCTACGTCCCCTTTGTGGGGCGCACCCCACCGTTTGAGAACCACTGCTCTTCTCACCCATTAGTACTGTTCAATAAGTCAAAAACTAATACTGATTATGTGTATATTAATAGGCCTATGTTGGTATAGGTTTTAGATTTAGAATTTATAATACCTGGAAAAGCTTATAGTACAATGTCAGATAATATAGGTGATGATTTATATATTATATTTATTTTTATTCATTTTATAATCATAACAAGACTTCAAAATGAATACTTAAGTGTTGGGCCATGTAGAACAAACTATCAAAGCACAAAAACCATTTTAACATGTGAAATTCAAATTTGTCTTTTTGATATGGCATGACCTTGTGCACAGCATGTACAATACATTATCAATATTGAAAACCACTCGTAAATTGAGTGAGACAAACAAGGCCTGCAAACTTGAATGCTGAAAATGCTGATCAATTTTTTCAGACCATTTTTCGAAGTTTCAATTATATTTTTAGGAAGATCAAGGATTCAACTCAATTCCTTCGATGAGGAGGGGCACAGATGGATCAGGAGAGGTGCACAATTTTTCAATTATGTTGAAAATTTTTCTAAACATTAGTATAATGAAGACTGTAATGATAGATGTAATCAACTCATATTTCCATATTGACAATTCAAATATTAAAATTATTTTGTCTTATGATAAAAATCGGTACTTCAGAGAAGTATGTGAACCAAGATGGTGGACAACGAAACGTAGTATGTGTGCCAGGTTAGAGTTAGACCATAATTTTATTCGAATTTTTCTTATTCTAGTTCTATTACGAGTTCGCGGACTAGCCAAGCCCAGAAGTCTGCTGTAAACAAACCTTACCGCTCAGAGTCATATATAATGTATAGACAAAGTGCTATATTATATTATTAACCCTTTGCGGTCCATTTTTTTTTACCAAAAATTTTCCCACAGGTCCAATTTTTTTTTACATACTAAATCAGTTCCTTTCCATGTTCTAAGGTGTTTCCGTGTGTTTTTTCATATTTGAAAAGAAAAAGACGAAAAATTGCGATTTTTTAATTTGTGCTATTTTTGTTTGACAAGGCACCTCCAGCGGTGAAACACTTGCATTTTGTGTTTGTAATTAACAATTCTTAGCGTATAGCGCATACTACTGTCGAGGTGGTAAACGAATAAAAGGTGCAGTAACGGTCTGAGCGGTCAACAGCCCCCATTCTGTGTAGTCACAGATCACCACGGGCTTTTCAAAGTCGTCCTACTGCTAGGAATGGGCAATGTAGAATAATTTACTATTGTAGAATAGTTAAATCGAATCCAGAATACCGAATCCTATTCTATTTTCATACTTATTCAAATAGTGGGAATTTCTACATTGCTGGATTTAGATGGTAAAAAATTGCAAATGTATTACTTACTATAAATGTATTATCTATTTGGAAATGTCCTGAACATTGGATTTCATTTGATACTAAACAGGCAGTTCCCAGGACAATAAAATTTAGGAATATTACAATATTTTTTGCCTTCAATTGTTCCAAATGTATGTAATCCCTAAATACTAATAAATACTGATATGCTAAATTAAGACACGCTTTACACACTTTAATAGTAAGCGGTTAAATACAAAATAGACATGAAACGGCGTTAAATCATTATTAATGTAAGTCTGCCGAGTATACTAAAACATACCCGCTGAGAATTAATTAGATGCTGAACCAGCATGCGGCCACTGCAAGCAACTTATGCGCCGTTGTAAAATATTAAATTTAACCACTATTAATTAAAATCAACCTTTTATTCTGTGAGAGCAAGACACGTAAAATCAAGTTCCCGTAAAGTTAAACGCGATTTCTATTAGGTTATAACATCTGAAGACGAACTCCTTTTCTATGATTATCGTTACATATCATTATCTACCCAGACTTGGCCCTACTCAAATTCAATACGTCACTATCTTCGCCAGATGCAGCAACTTTTTTCAAAATTCATCGGCGACTAAAATACTACAGACTTTCGATCAAACGTGCGTCTATCTTGAACTATAGAAATGTTATTATTAATCATTATCTACCCAGACTTGGCCCTACTCAAATTCAATACGTCACTATCTTCGCCTGATGCGGCAACTTTTTTCAAAATTTATCGGCGACTAAAATACTACAGACACTCGGATCAAACGTGCGTCTATCTTGAACGATAGAAACGGACCGAAAAATATGTAATCTTTTGAGAGTGAAATTTAAATGTGACAGTTGTTCGCGTTTTGCGATATAACTTTGTATTTCGGAAAATGGTATAATAAAATTATTCGTAAATAATATTTGATCTAAATTAATGGCGAGTAATGTTATAACATTTAACGCCTGGCTTTTGGTTTACGTGCATCATTTTTTTGGGAAAACTCGTAGGTCACGAAAAATCATTTAATTTAAAATGAGGCAAGGCACGTCTGTAAACAATTAAAGATTGTTGCATTCAGATTATCGGAATATCACCAGTAAGTCGGCACAAATAACGCTAGCTAGATAGCAAAGGAGGAAAACGCAAAAATGGTGCAATAACGCGTCCTCGCCGTGAGGTTATATTACCGACTTCTTGTCCTGAATATGCCGATTGAAATTACAGTGTTTGATGTTTACCGATTTACGGGTTCTTTGCGAGCAGACGCAAGTTTAATTAAACGAGAGAGATTTCCACGCGAGAAAAACGCTCGTCTATAATTGATAAATTAGAAACCCGAAATACAAAAATTGACGCTTGGCGCCAAAGAGGCGGAAACCGAATCCTGTTATCGGATCCCGTTGGATTCGAATACTTTGGGATTCGAATCCTCCGGATTCGGTATTCTATATTGCCCATCCCTACCTACTGCCCTCTTTTTATTACTCGTGAAACAGTCTTTACATCTGCATTATGCCAGGCGCTGAGCATAAGCACAGTACGCTTGTCATGCCAACCTAAAGCCATCAGCATCTTGCTGGAGTGCCGGCAAACTTTTGTTTCATGGTTTTTCAAGCGCAAGCATTTGAGATCCTCTGGAAGACCTTCACAATTTTTTTGAACGGTTTCAGTTGTATGCATTCCCTCTTCTAAAAGCTTCACCGCCAATGTGGGGCTGATATAAAATCTATCAGTGTAGATGTGATATCCTGCCCCTCGAGTTTGAGTTGCCAGCTGATTCACCAAATACATTACGATTCTGGTAGTAAACGGCTCTCCAGGCTGTTTTTCTAATCTTTTTTCACACATTCTTTCTATTCTATCCCAATACAATAACAGGTAAATGCTTGTGCCAACTTACTGCCTTTTTTTAACAGTATTTACAAACTACAATAACTGGCAAATGCTTGTGTTGACTTACTGCCTCTTAACAGTATTCAAAAATATAATAACGGTTAAATGTCATTCAAACAGTTAACTACTGAGTTTTTATAACAGTATTTAATTACTACTGTGCATGTATCAGCGCGCCTCGCTTTTGCACACAGCACAAAATCGGCTAGAATTTCACCAAACGCACTAGGCAAAAAACTAGTCACGTGTATCTGCGCTATTAACATACCTAAAATGACGTTGGACTTACTGTAACGACTGAAATAAATACTTCATCCCATGGATGAGGTTGGGCCGCAAAGGGTTAATATTAAAAACTGCAAGTGCCAACTAACATATTTTTTTCTTCAGAGATACAAGTCCATGCGGATCAAATCGCTTCAAAAAAATTCCTTGAATTTGCTCGACTGTTTTTGGGGATTCCAGACAGAATCATTGACCAAATCTTGCGGCAAAGTCTTACCAAGGAGGATTTATACCAAATGATGAAACCTTTATTTGATACAAGTAAGCAAAAATACAAGTTAGAAGTTGTATACTTATTACAACAGCAAATAACAGTTTTGTAAATCTATCAATAAACTACTTCATTTCAGTAGAAAGCATGATTCCAATGCAAAATGGCCTGTTTACACGATGATAAATATATCGAAAAACACCTAACTTTCAGATATCCCCACTTCAATTTGTGGGACAGATGTGTTATTAGATGTAATTCTGGTGGTAAACCAAATCTCATCATTATTACAATTATTAAATGTACTTCTACTCATTAACTTAACCTATGCTATTCATAAATAAATTTCAAGAGACAAGTAATTCTTGTACTATTCTTGCTCCTTTTCAAAAATAATTTTGTCTGATATTCAGCAGAATTAAACCATCTGATTTCATTTAGATAGCGGACGGTTCATAGCAACCGTGAGAAAATATAAAGCAAGAATCAAATCTGAAACATATCTAAAAATGGATCGACGCATCAGGCAGGATAGGAATGAGATTCCAGGTAAATTGACCTATGGTTATCCACCATTATTTAATTCCTAAAAAAATTGTGCACAATGGATACAAAAAGTCCGTCTCCAACGGCGAAAACATCAATTGGAATATATTTAATAATAAAAATTTGAGCAAAGCATCATAGTATATAAGTATAAGTTTATTTCGACTCGAAAAATTTTCGATACAATCGAAAATTTTGGATACAATCACACCCAAACAAAATTTAATAAATTTTCATAATTTTTTTAAAAGTAATACACATATGGGCTATTCCAAGTGACACTACAGGACAAAATTCAGAAATTTTGCATGTTGTTAAATTCAATATATTTTCACATTTTCAGCTACATGTTTTGTTTCATTGTCCAATCAGTTGCTTTATTGAATATGTAAAAAATTGCACAAAAGTTACACCCAAGACTTACTCAATAGATAAAAAAAATATAGTAAAATGTAGCGTGACACTACAGGACGGCAAATCCACCATGCACTAACAGTTAGTTGTGTTATGCTGTAAATTTTTGCGATGGTACAGTGGGAGCCCATAATATTTTTTGGTGCAGTAGCTGAACGGTAACGACAGTAGCTCTATGTGTTGCTCAAGTTACTTAATGTAACACTGTAAATAATGTGCATATTGTATGTGACACTACAGGACGTGACACAACAGAACATTTTTCCATTTTGGAATAGCGGCCTCTATCATCTCATAAATTTTTGGTAATAAATCAGTAAATGGGTGGAGAAATGTCCTACAGCACTGCAAACATTTAAACTTTATTAACTTAAATCCAGTGCGTCAATTCCATATGAAATAACTGTACCACACAATCAAACACTTTGTGTCAGGAATCAGCACAAAATATGTCAATTATACCAAAATTTCTACATTTCAGGCCATTTTTTATAAACCATCAAAAACCTGGGTGAAATTTTATATTGTTTGATGAAATGAATGCAGTCCAATAAATTTCCAATGTCTTTCGATATCAAAAATAAAAAATTACTTTCACTACACTTTTTAAAAAATTGATGGAATTCAACTTTTGCTTGGAATGGCCCATATGTCAGTATTCCTACAGTTTTCACCCTGTATGACCATAATAGGACTGTGAATGTTTGAAATTCTTGCAACTAAAGTTAAAAATAGCAACCCACCAGAGAACCATAATGAAAACTGGATAATTCCTTTCAGTTAATGATTTAATTTAATCCCATTCCCTTTTATTCAGATAATTCCGTAGTAAGCAGTTCGTGTATCCATTCACATCTGCAGTATAATCCCAATATGTAGGCTACTTCCATTATTTTTTAACCTGTTTTATACAATATCTGCATATATTTTTAACCCCTAGCAACCTAGGAAAATGATAAGATTACAAAATATCAATTTGAAATAAATAATAATTATGCCTTTTCACAACAGAAAATCTTCTTGTCGAGATTATATACGGGCTCATCGAAGCGATTCCAATAAGGGATAGGCGTAATTTCGCAGAAAATGAAATTGGAGTTCGCAATATAGAGTACAGAGACATTCGAAATGTGCAGATTACCAGGGATCTGAAACTGCATTTCCTGGAATGGTGGTGGGAAAACATAGGTAAAATCGATATCATTTTTCTGGTATTGAAACTAATAGCATTTAAACCATGTAGAGTGTAGACTGTTCGGCAATCATGGTGAACTACATAATTTTGTTATTGCTAAGAAAAAACTGATTATGTCTCACAAAATGAATCAATTCTTTTCTTAGGGCAATCGAAACAAAACTCCCTGGCAGAGCTTAAAAAGAAGGCGGAGGATGGTGGCTACCTGAAACGTCAAAGTGAGTAGAATATTATCGGCATCTTACAAACATTGCAAAGTATTTGTCGCTCACAAACAAATCTCACTAACTATTAAAAAGAGGCTCCTCAAAGTCTTGTGACTACATAATGCGAACTCAAAATTAATTTTCATATACCTTTTACTCAAGGCTGTGTAGAAGTATCCAATGTTAGATAAGGAGCTACTAAGGGTCGCAATATTGCGAGTTCGACACCGCTTACCCAATTTGTTAAATACTGGTGGGTAAAGAAATTGAATTCAAGTACAATGCATTATCCACTATAGACATCTCGCCAATCAATAAAGAACCAAACTGCCGAAACATTTAAAATAAATTCTAAATCAAAATGGTAGAATAATAAAAATAAATTGAAGCTGCTAAATTATGAATGTAACAGATAAAGAGTGATGAGACCTATAAATCAAGGCAGGGTGAATGTTGTTCACCCTGTTACAACAAAGCGATCTTACCTGCATTTCTTTACCCGAAGAAATATTTAAAACAAATTTTAACAGTTACTTTTCTCAATCCATTTAGTAACTTTTTCTATTTTACTTTCTAGATGACGTTTTGGAAAAGTATTTTGGAAGAAGCAACGTCAGCAACCGATGAACATTTATTTCCGGGAACTCTCCATCCCTCCCTTGTACATATGCTTTTAAAAATTATTCAACTTTTACTCAAATCAATCAAATGTATATACAGGTCCGCAGCCAGAACCATCGGTGATTTTGATGAAATAACCCCTTTTTAAATCGCGAGCAGTATTAGCGTCTTTTTAGGTCTTCAGAAATTTTGGAAAGAGGAGGTTTAGACCCTGAACCGCCACGCCCCTCCCTGGCTGCAGCACCAGGGTTGGTTTCTATTGTCTAATGATATGATATGAAACAAATAGACATATAATTTAACGTAATGACTTCTCCTTTTATTCGTCATTCAGCAATTATTTGTGATTTTGTTCAATTACGGCCACAGCAGAATCTCCTGCATTGCATAGATTGGGCATAGCAAATGGGATAACCATTGCTATTTTGGAGTCCATGATTCACTTTTAGTAAACGATCACTCCAGCAAAAATGAATTTGAATGCACATACTGGCAGACAACATGAGACTTGCTTATAACAATTTGTCCCAAAACGCAGTGGGACACATTCAGTTGAGAACCACAGCTGTATGTGTCATACAATGAGACAATTTTTAATTGAGTTGTACAGTTTATTATGTCATTCGATATAAATTGAATCCTTACCATAATTTGAATTTCAAACAGACTATATATATTCCAGTGATTCAAGAGTGTTGCTGCACACTAACATATTTACTGCACTTTTGTCTGATCCAGACATTTTAATAGCTGAATGCTTGTCTGAAACGATGAAGAAATGCATTTGTGTTAATGAGCTGCAATACCCTTAAATCAACTAAAATAGTCATCTTTATACTTGCTTAGTCATCCTTTTATGAAGTCATCCTTTTGCAAAAGCCCAGAGCAAGAAAAGATAATAAGTCTTGCTCAACGCCAACTGATAGACTGTATATTCAAAAAAATTATGAATTCCCATAATATACCAGAACTTACATGGCTGAAAATATTATGGCAAAGCACTATTTTGTTCCCAAAGTGTTCAATTAATGAACACAGACAGTATGGCCAAATTGACCCAGACGTCTAACAAATTCATGTGTATTTGTATATTTTTAAAATAACTGGGATAAAACGTCTGTCTACGGGTAGTAGTGACTACCAGTAGTTTTGTGCTCAATAATTTTTTTTTGGATCAAATATAACATTTTAATGTAAAGTCGGCTATTTTAACACCATGCAGACATATGACAGCAAAAGTTAATCTACAATAGGCAAACACAAATAGATTTTGTGGATGGAGAGGTCTGACTAGATGATTCCCCGGTATTTGGGTTTTACGAATTCAGGAAGTTACTGGCAGTGATATATCTCTATTTAAATTTTATGAGTTCGATTTAAATCTTTCAGATCTGATTCGGTATCTTGGTGCTAAATCTACATTTATAGCTAGGTTTTAAAGAAGATAAAATATTGTCAGATACAACAGGCCAACCCCAATTGTGAACACGTTCTGTTATTTTCAGATTTTGAAATTTCAGGTACAGGTACTTCCACTGCAATGTCACAATTAGCTAGTTAAACATATCAATGGTTTATTTCAGAACTCCCTTCCTGACCCACTAACATTACATGGCAATTTCCGCACAAACCGGGCAATTCGGGTCGATTTCAAACCTGCACACATCAAAACATGGTGCCAGTATGTATGTACCGTATATTTGCCTCAAAATGTAACAGTATCTGCATAATAATTGAGGCTAGTTCACTAAATGCCGTCAAGAACTTCTAGTTGGCGTGACATACCGTAACCATTTTTGCATATGTCATTTCTAACCATTACCTGACTACGTCAACTAAAAGTACTTACGACTTCTTGTGAACATGCGACCAATAATTAAACAGTGTAAAAGAGACGGGACACATGTTCAAGACCTTACTGCAGTACTGGTCTAAGACACAGATGTGCGACATGCAACCCTTAAAGTATAACAGCAGTTTAGGACTGCTGCGTTATATGAGGACAATAAACAAGAAATAGACTATACAAATAAAACTCTAGTACAAGGCTGCACAACCCGTGGGCCGCATGTGGCCCGCCGAACTGTTTTTTGCGACCCGCCCTATAGAGTTTGTAAGCGGACTTTTTATGTTTTTACTATGTTATATATCAATATATAGGGTTAAGTACATTTCTGATTTTGGTGTGATTATTCCTGCAATTTATCTACATTCAAATGGCGGTTCTCATTATTACAAAGGTGTCAAGTCTTGCACCCTGGTGGACCACAAAGTAAGTTTTTTTTTTTTCTCAGTGAACTACCGGAAGTATCTACCGGAACTGGGGGCTAGTTCACTATACAACACTTCTAGTTGGCGTAGTATAACCATTTTTGCATATGTCACTTCTAACCCCCCCCCCCCATTGACTACGTCATCTAAAAATTACCATACGTCACAGTGTGCAGTGACGAAATAAGGCCCGTCAAAGTATACGGATTGCTGTCTAAAAACATACGGTACCGGTACAGAAGATCACCTGAAATCAAGAAAGCTAGTTTTCTTATCATAACTATCTCGATATGAGAGAGAATGCGGGTGCTTGTGAGTTCGTTATCGTTGGCAGGTTGGCGGAAATAACATTTCGAGCGATCGTAACTTTTCTTTGGCAAGCTTTATGACGTGTTTGTGATATGCAAAAATGATTATGCCACGCCAACAAGAAATCTTACGGCGTTTACTAAAAATGCGCCCAGTACCAGTACCGTACTGTCAGACTGTTACCGTACCGGTACTTCATACAGTTATATAACTGTATAAGGAATCAGCATAAAAATTAAAAAAAACCTCTTCGGAGTGTTAGAATTAAAACTTTACTCTGACAAAAATGTGCTGTTAGTAAAAGTGCCTCAACGTCCATGAGATAGATAGTACGGTAGCCTTTTTTGTGCCAATTAAATTCCAACGTCAAACAAAATTTTGGTATTCCAGTATTGAGATTTTACAATGGCATCATTTTATTTCGACTACATGGATTTTTTATTCCATGTTTTGGTTTTTTTATTTAAATCCCATTCCCCCAATACATACCGTACAAACAGTAGATAAAAATACAATCAATTACCGGTAGCGGTACCGTGCCGGTATGCTATATTAAATGCAGTGCCGGTACCGGCATCAACTTTTTTTTTGCCGAATTGAATTCCAGTGACAATATGAAAATATTTAATTATATTTTTTTGTTTTTGTCCAAATACATTAAGATAACGTTACATCAAGTACGGTACCGATATCAACATGCGCACAGCACAGGTAGGCTCACAAAACTTTATAAGTTTGAAAGTAATGCCCTTTGACCTTTGAGAGCTACGGAAGAAAAGAAAGTCGATGAGACGGCTTAATCGCGTGTTGAACAGAACCACGGCCTTTCGTCCGCTATTCATTGAATGGTGGGTATTAGAATAGTTAACCCTTTGTTTGTTCGAGATGTCTAGTCAGTGGCGCATCCTCGAATAGGGAGGGCGAACGCGGAAAACTTTAAAAATGGCTCGATCGTTGACTGATTTTTTAACGACTGCTTTCGAATTGATACGAATTTCAATTATCTCTAATCTGAAATAATTTATTGAAACAGTTTATGATCAAACTTTTTTCTCATTTTTTTAAGAGGCATGAGTCACACCGGGTACGCCATTGTATCTAGTCTATTAGTTCTAATTGATGATAGAAAAAAATTAGGGTAATAATCACAAAAATCATGGATAATTTTAGGCATACTGGTTGTTGAGGTTGACCAATTTAATTTAGCCCGGCCCGGTAAACTACCCTACGATGACGAGAAGTCCAACATATCTGATATGGAATGGTGACCGGCCGAAAGGTCATGGTTCGCCATATGAATAAGCCGTCTTATCGGCATTCTTCCCCGCCGAAAAAAAGTACGTAAATCCCATCCTCAACGAAATCTCATGTATTTTGATGATGAATACAAATAAACTTTTCAAAGCGCATAAGTTTATTCTGAAGTGCATAGTTCTGTAGTTACTTTTAGCCCATAGCCTACTGGGATTTGAAACCTGATTGACGAAAAATAACACCGTCATGTAAACAGAAATGACCATACGACATCATAGCCTACTACTGCGCGTGCTGGGATACGGAGTATTACAGTAGCTTATATCGGTATTGCTTTGTGTTTTAAAATTGAATGTCACGCTTCCAACTACAGGTCTAACAGTACCGGTAAGTCTAAAGTTACCGGTAGCCTATTCTCATTTCGAAATCGCTACCGTAACCCTAACCTGGTACGGTACACATACTACGTTCCGGTGTCCGCCATCTTGGTTCACATACTTGTGGAGTACCAATAGTATTACAGTAGCCTAAATTGGTAATGCTTTGTGTTCAAAAAACGAATTTTGCTTCCAAGTAGCCTACAAGTCTAACGGTACCGGTATGTCCAAAGCACAAGTAGCCTATTCTTATTTCAAAATAGAACGAATACCAGTATAAGTAAACAAGTTTTCAACAAGTGTTTTATAGATATGACCGTGGTTATGATTACCCAAAAATCGTAACCCAATTCGGCCTAACTAATAATAAAACGCAGTCCAGAAACTTCGAAAACAGCCCACGGGCCAAACAGGACAATGGCGGGGAATGACGTGTCTTGTGGCACGTGACATCTGTGTGATGTCATAATGATACGTTAAATTCATCCTACGCAAAAAAAGATCTGGATTAATTTAATTAACATTTTTTACAGACATTCTGACGTAGAAAACAGCATATAACTTAATATGTTTATTTTATGTTTATATGTTTATTTTATGTCTTTTATTTTTATTTGAGTAGTGTGTTTCTTTGCGAGGGTTGTGGAAGGTATAATTTAACTCCTGTACCTATTACTGTAACTAGGCGATCAGTCGAGATATATTGGATTCTACCCTTTATTTTAATTTGCTGTGGTATTCCATGATGTGTCTTGTGTGTATACAAAATTTTATTCTAGGTTAAGGTTCTGCTGTGAAATGAACGTGAAGGCCAACATAAAAATGGTTAGTGTGGTTTGAGAGTTCTTGCATGGTTTGCGAAGATTATTTACCCTGTATCCCAACCAGAATTCAACTCAGGTCTTTCAACCTGCGTTTTAAAGATCAATAACTAATGATCAATATTTACTTAAAATAATAATTTCTTCTCACAAATATGGAGGGTATTGACTAGTGAGTGTTATATCCTAATATGTAACCCTTGAATTTTCTACTCGCAGATTTATTCTCTGTTTTTTCAGGTCGTTTGTGATGACCAATTCAATGGCTAGCTTATTGAATATAAAGGGTGTCTACACTACATCATCGAAATTAGCAGTCTGACGTCTCATCTATGCTAAATTTAAATTGACAACAATTGCGTTACATTAAGTAAATGAAGAAATGATTCCGTGAAATAACAATCCAAATTCCTTTGTCCTTGCAGAAGTCAATATCTAAGATTGAAATAAACCTTCCTTTTAACCTTGGTAACGAACATATTCCTATTCCCCGTTGCCCTACCTTAATTAGTTAAAATTACTTGTACTGTTACTTTTACCTTTAAATACTTATTACAATCTGGACTATAATTTGGCAATAATAGCATCTAGTTTGGGGAATGAAGTGGTTTAGCCCACCTCTTCATTCCCCCCTATTCTGGCAACTTTGGTTGGGCATTTTTGGCAATTGACTCCACTATAATGAGCTTGCCAATATATTTTTCATAAACGTTTATCTCTACTGTTCACTCCCATTTATAAAATCTATCAATTCGGCAATGGCAAACGGTATAAATTTATGAATATGGTGTGAAAAGTAATTTTTATTTATCTATTTTTCATTAACTACCCGTATGTAATTTATAACTTCTGTATGGTTGTGTTTGTGGGTGCGTGTGTGAAATATTTCCATTATTTTAGGTGAGTGAACACGTACCACATCTTCTTGGCAAAACCTTCCATCTTGTATACATTCTGCACGTTTTAAACCTTATCTAAAATTTTGTTTGCTCTCCTGATTTCATAATCAGTTTTTATTTATTTTTTTTTACCGATCATTTTATTGTTAGGCTGATTATGGAGTCGAAATATACTTATTATTATAAACTTATAAATTTGGTCGGGTTACGTTTTGCTTCACTGATTGCTCGCAAAGTTTGGATTGTTCAGTAATTACTAATTTTTTCTTA